TATATATATATATATATATATATATATATATATATATATATATATATATATATATATATATATAAATAAAAAAAAAAAATAAAATAAAAATAAAAAAAAAAAAAAAAAAAAAAAAAAAAAAAGAAAAAAATAAAGAGAATATGTGTGTTGTATTTGTTTATATATATATATATATATATATATATATATATATATATATATATATATATATATATATATATATATATATATATATATATATATATATATATATATATATATATATATATATATATATATATATATATATATATATATATATATACACACAGTTGAAGTCAGAATTATTCGCCCCCCTTTAATTTTTTCTTCTTTTTTAAATATTTCCCAAATGATGTTGAATAGAGCAAGGAAATTTTCACAGTATGTCAGATAATATTTTTTCTTCTGGAGAAGGTCTTATTTGTTTTATTTCGGCTAGAATAAAAGGAGTTTTTAATTTTTTTAACAAATATTTAAAGGACAAAATTATTAGCCCCTTTAAGCTATATATATATATATATATATATATAATTTTTTTAAGTCCACATAACAAACCATCCTTATACAATAACTTGCCTAATTACCCTAACCTGCCTAGTTAACCTAATTAACCTAGTTAAGCCTTAATAATGTCACTTTAAGCTGTACAGAAGTGTCTTGATAAATATCTAGTCAAATAATATTTACTGTAATCATGACAGATAAAATAAATCAGTTATTAGAGATGAGTTACTAAAACTATTATGTTTAGAAATGTGCTGAAAAAATCTGCTCTCCGTTAAACAGAAATTGGGGAAAAACATAAACAAGGGGGCTAATAATTCTGCCTTCAACTGTATTCCATTATTAAGTCACGAGGCGTTATTTATACATATTCATTTGATTGCTTATTGCTTCATATATTATTAATATTATTATTATTATATGAATTATAAATGTCTATAACCGTCGTTATTTGCTTATATTGATTTAGTTCTGTTGTTTTGGTTCCATTTGTTGATTCATTTCTAAGTTCCTCGAAGTGTCTGATGTATTTCACGCATTCACGTTTAACATCTCTATACCACTTATTTTTGAAACCAATGAAAAGTAATCAGTTGACGACATATGCTATAGCGTTTTTGCACTCGGACCAGTTGTTTTTAACTTTTCCCACAGCGTTTATTAAGCAGTTAGCAGCAAGAAAAGTTTTTTCTTTTTTTTTTTGCCACATTTTAGGTGTTTACCTTGCCATCAAACTGGCGACGCCCCTAACAGGTAGATGGAATTTTTCATTTCACTTCATCGCCAAGCACTTGCTGCGCAAGGGTATCTTATCTTTCCTTGGGACTTTGTTGTTTCTACAATCAGCGCTTTCTAAAAAGAAACATCTGCTGTTTTCTGTTACTTTGGAAGAGTTTAATCGTGTTTTATAGAAAATGTTTAAACAGGTTTAACTCGTTTTGAAAGCAAGGGAACAATAATGAAAGTGAAAGCAGATCTGTGGACGTACGCCTGCATCGTCTCACATTGTCCGAATTAATTTTGTGTTGGCCTGTTAATTAAAAATGGACTTGCATAAAAACTTGTTCGTGACAGCTCTATTGATGAGCTGCAGCTGTAATGGTAAGTAGGCTATCTAAAACTGCAGCCGGTCTGTGTGAATAACAACAACGATTGTTGATTGGATTTGTTATACTTTTTGATACAACCCACATTTTCTTTCAAAATCTTCACAGGGTTTTTAGTGAAGGGTCCATCTGGTCCACTGGTTGCTCTTCTGGGGTCATCCGTGGTTTTGCCCTGTTATGTTAACGAATCTTTACCTGTGAAAGAACTAAAAGTGATCTGGATAAGATCAAATCTGAATACTTTAGTGCATGTTTTTCAAGACGGCGAGAGTCGACCAGATGCCCAGTATCAGGATTATTATCAAAGAGCTCATTTCTTTACTGAGGAGATTCAGCATGGGAACTTTTCTCTCCGCCTGGATGATATGAGAGCTGAAGATAAAGGCTTTTACCGATGTAAAGTGTACACTGAGCAGGAATCTGACGAAACACTGGTTCAAATTAAAGCAGTCGGTGAGTAAAAATCGTGTTTTTTATTTATTTATTTTTATTTTTTTACGCGATTTCACTTTGCTAAATGTTTATACTCATATATAGGCCTGTTTGAAGCAACTAATTAGTAGTACTTATTTATCTGTTGTTGCTATGGTAACACAACAACTAATATAAACAAATGACCGAATAGTTTTCCACAACTATAGAGTAAATTATACTACAATACACCACAGTTTACTGTAGTAAAAAGTGAAGTAGTAATCACTGTTTATCAGTTCACTATGTTTGAAACACTCTAGCATTCATTAACAAAGAGTTATAGTGTACAGTATGAACACTTTACTGTAGCATGGTTCAAAACACTGTGGTATTTACTATAAACTCCTGAGACTCAAAGAAAAAAAAGGTCTTTTTTTGTTGTTGTTTTTTTCTTCTGTGATTTCCTACGTCCTTTGGGTAATTTTTTTTTTTTTTTTTGAGTTCTGAGTTTTTATGTTTTGTTTTTATTTCAAATTTTACAGCATGTCCACTAGCTGTAGTGGCTACAGAACCATTTTAGTTTGAAACGACCCCCAAACTCAGACAACAAATCTGTACAGGATATGACTGTAAAGGGATATTAATCCAGTATTATAATGTAACAAAAACTAAACAAAAGCCATTTTTTCCTTTTGTATTGAAATTCTCCTGCTGAAAAATCCAGCTTAAACCAGCCTATAGGCTGGTAAGCTGGTTTTAGCTGGTCGACCAGGCTGGTTTTAGAGGGGTTTTGACTACTTCCAGGCTCGTTTTCAGCCATTTGCAGCCTGGTCTTAGCTAGTCAGACGGGAAAATGACCAGCTAAATCCAGCTAAAACCAGCTTGACCAGGCTGGTTTAAGCTGGACATAGCTGGTTTTGGCTGGGCTCTCAGCCTGCCTGGTCAAGCTGGTTTTAGCTGGTCATCTCCCAATTCCCAGCTAAGACCCGGCTGGAAAAGGCTGGAAACCAGTCTGGAAATGGTCAAAACCCCTCTAAAACCAGCCAACCAGCATAGGCTGGTTTAAGCTGTTTTTTCAGCAGGGGTATGTAATGTAGCTTTTAAAATGTTTTTTTTTTTTACTATTATTATTGCATATATATTTGTTTATTAAAGTGTCAGGAACAATACGTTTAGCTTTCAAAGCTGTTAACTTGTTTGTGTTTCATCATCCTTTTTTAAATGTCCACTATAGAGGACACCAGGACCATCTTAATGTAATTAATGACTGCATGTTGTAGGGTGCAGAACTGAAGCAGAGAGGACTCTTTATAAGATAGTTGAGGGAGACTCTGGCTTATATTCTGACAATCAGACAATTAGAGAATGACCATCCGTTTTAAATAACTTTTATGTTGAGTTTGTTTAGGATTAACACATTTCTTCCTTTGTTTTTTGTTTGTTTTTTCAGTTCAGTTCTCGATCAGACTAAACTGTTTCAGGACCCTACTGAAAAAAACAGCTTAAACCAGCCTATGCTGGTTGGCTGGTTTTAGAGGGGTTTTGGCCATTTCCAGACTGGTTTCCAGCCTTTTCCAGCCTGGTCTTAGCTGGGAATTGGGAGATGACCAGCTAAAACCAGCTTGACCAGGCAGGCTGAGAGCCCAGCCAAAACCAGCTA